TTTTTTTATTTTGTACAAACAAAATAAATATATTGAAAAATATAAAAACAATAAAAAATTATACTTCAGAAGTTAATTTAGTATCAAAAACGTAAAATATTTGAGTAGCCCAAGACATAGCAAAAGATTGCAGCGCCACAGCACTAGCGAAAATTTAAATTTGCCAACTGGAATTCTTTCGGATAACTGACATTTCGGATAACCGACTTTCGGATAAACGACGCTCTACTGTACAAATATATTTGCTTTAATGGAGTTTACAAAACAAAATAAAGCGTAAAAACATAAAATTGTATTGTTTTTTGGACTTTGTTTTTTCTGTTTTTGACTTTGCTCTGTGGGCACTAAGGTCCACAGAGCAAAGTCCCTCATAGATTTGGACATGTGGCGAGGTAAGGGCCCAACATATCCAGGACAGATTTCCCATAAAAATTTTCTGGAGTAATTTGCCAAGATTTGATTCCAGGTCTTTCAGAGCAATAGGCCAATTGCCTTAACTGCCTCGGCCATCCAGCTGGCCACTTTTGGATCATATTCATCATCAGGTATACTTAAAGGATTGTAGAATGCTATAATCATATTAATAGGTCCTTTAAACATTCCTGATGATAAATGCAAGTCCAAAGTGCTAGAATTTTAGTTTATTTTGTTCTTAAGCTCCATTAAAATATTCTTTTCTTAATATTGTAATAAGACCATATTAAATTTAAATGAAAAATTGAAATTAATAGAAGCAGTTTTTTAACAAACTCAGTTAATTTCTTAGTAAGTTGTTAATAGAAATATTCTTAGCATGTGTTGGTGTAATATTTTGAAAAATAACAATATATTATATAATTGCTTTTATTAGTTAAGAAAGAGCTTAATGTTAAAGTTCCAAATTTAATTCAATGTAACCTCAATTAAAGAGAGAATAAATTATTTCTAAATATTATTAGTGTGAAGTAATGTATTTATATTAAGAAATAATTAATCATTTTATACATTTTTACTAATTTCCAACAACTAATGAAAATTAACATTTAGTTAGATGCTCTTATACCAGCGTGTGCCAGTCTTCGTTTGCATCTCGTTAATGATGGAAATCAGTTAGATGCTTTGGGAGCAGCAGTGAAGTCGGCTGAAACTTCTGCCGCGGCCACGGCCGAATTGAGGGCCAGGGCCGGCAGGGCAAGCTATGTCAATTCGGACCTGTTAAAGTCTCCTGACCCCGGAGCCCACGCCGTTGGCATTTGGATGAGAGCAGTCTTCGAAGGGATCAAACAAAAAGTGAAAGCACTTCCAAAGTAAAGCATATTAAATAGTTATTTTTGGTGTTTTAATCATTCCAATGGAAATAAATTTGTATTCAAGATTATTTTTATAAGAGGATGATAATATATTTACAAAATATCTAGATATAAAATTCAATATTATATATTTTTATAAAGATGTTTAATTTGTAATAAACTTACAAATATATTTAATTCTCTTTGTAAAAATTTATTTAATCAATTTTTTTTTATAAATTATTTGATAAATCACAGTACATAATCTGTCATATTTTTTCAGACATTATTATTTAAAATACTTCAAAATGCTGGGTGCCAAATGCAAAATGAAAAAAATTAATTTTTTTTATTTAGTCGTTGTTATTTTACTTTTTTTAAATATTTCATCCTGAAATTTTTAATCTGTATTTTACAAAGAAAGTTTTACAAATATCAGATGTAAGAGAAACTTTTAAACAATTTGCCAAAGTATAGGCGGAGAAGAATGTACAAAGGAGGATCGACTGCTGGTGTTAATTGCATTCTGGTGATTGTGAATGGAAGTTCAGAAGACTTCAACAATGTTTTTATTTTTCGTACTTAGCCTTTGGTATTGTACACTTTTGAAATGATTTAAAATAGTTTATTTTTAATGATGGTGCATTCATTTCCTGCATAGAATAATATAGAATAAACAAATATTTATACACATTTAATCATTTACAATAATGGTAACAAAATTTTAAAGGACAATAATGATAAATCCATTACTTCAATTTTTACAATTATTTTTTAGTATCAGTTAACAAAAATATTAAATTTATTACTGTGAGAAATATATAACAAAGAGATTTAAATTAAAAACAAAAAATTGTTATTCTAAAATCAATAAACAAATTATCACTTTGCAAATTTATAATCTTTCAGAATGGAATTTTAAAATTTATTTTTTGATAAATTTATTTATTTATTATTTATTAAAATAATTCTTAATCACTTTTGCATAGTTTGTCTTTCAATCAATATTTATTTACTTTTCTTCTACCACAAAAATGTTTAATAAATTTTTTGTTTACATTACAGTAGACTCTCAATTACCCAGAAGAATGAGAAAAATGTTGTTCTGGTTAATCCAGTTTCATTTAAATCCTTCACCAACTAAACGGAACAGTCTTTGTTAGTGTATGAGGGTATATAAATTTAACAGGATATAAATGAAGGATTTTCAGATTGCTAGTGTAAATAACCTAGACTTCCCATTTGGGTAACTTGCTGCACCCAACTAAGATTTATGAAGCAGTCTGAAATTACTTTTAATAAACTGGACACTTCCATAAAGTGCATCATTCCTCTTCACCTTCCCCATTGACTAGAATTCTAATAGCCTACAAAGCAGACAATTTGCAATGACTTAATGACTCATCCGTAGGCTTTTTTGACATCCCAGTCATTCTAATCTTGGATAATTGAGTGTCTCACTTTAAGAAATAGTTAATGATTCTTATGGTAGAAATACAGGTACAGTACTCCTTGACTCATGTATGTAACATGCAATTTACAAGATTCAGACTTATGGAAAAAACTTTAATCATAAAAATGGATTTTGTTTTTCTTTTCTCATTTTTGACTCCATCCTCTCNAAATTGATTGCAGTCCTAAAACTTGGTGCCAAGCTATAAATTTAGGAGTAAATATGATGAAGAAATATGGAGAAGCAGAAGAAGGAGATAGAACTATGGTATGTTGAGAATGGAATTTCAGAATTCTTTAAAATCATCTTTATCCTATTACAAACAATTTTTGCTGTTTTTAATGCATAAGATAAGTACTATTGGGAATTTTAAACAGACTATTATATTCACCAAACTTTTTAAAAGATGATAATCAAAGCATTTCCAATGTATAACATCAGATTATATATGTACCGTACATATAGTTACATAGATTTATTTTTTTTTTATATAGATGAATGAACTTTTATTATTTTGATTTAATAACTTTGTTCCAAGAATATTTTTAACCTTGCACTGCAAACTGCTTGTCAGGCAATAATATCTAATGAAAGACAACTCAATAAATTAGATAAAGAAGATGGAGATGGTGACTTTATATATATTTAAATTGATTGTATATATTATATATATTTAAATATTTAAATTGATAAAAATTTAAATATTTTAAAAAATATTCTTTACTTTAACAAATCATTATTCTTAAATTTGTTACAACAATATTTCACTGTATAAAAAATTAATCAATATTATATTTTATTTAATTTCAGTTATTATTTAGGTGTATAACTTATTAATGAAATAATTAAGTCAAAAGTTTTACATAGTAATGAGTTTGCACATTGGTATTTTTGTTATAACCTTATAAATCATTATAATAATATAAGTATAAGCAAAATATTTTGTTGTAAGCTTAAGTTATAAAATAAAGTTGTAACAGTATCCAACTGGAGTAATTGCTTATAATAGAAACAATTACATGTAGTGAAATGTTGATGTCACTTTATCAAACATGGCTATTAAAGAGAAGAAATTATGTTGAAAGACAAAACAATATTTATAAATAGTTTATTAATGTTTGAGAAGATACTTCAAATGATGAAATGAACTGTGGAAGAGTGCATTCTGTATTATTTATAAAATATATAGTGAGGAAAGAAACACATACTACACTACATATTATAATTAAATTGGTAGAAGCTGATACATTTGTATTTTTAAATTCAAATTTTAGAATTTAAGATTACTTGATAGAACATATATCCCTTTGATAAAGAAATTTATGAAATTTCATGATCTTAAGATAATAAAAAAGCAATCAAGAGCAATTGATCATCATCACCATTCTTATTTTCAAAATATAACAAGTTATTGTGCAAATGTTATCTATGATGTTCAATGTTAGACTATTTATAAACTTTGTAAGTATTAAGGAAATACCAATGTGCAAACTTGCTAATATAAACCTCTTTGAAAGTAAGAAATGTATTTTATATTTTAGCAATAATTCATCACTCATTGCATATGTGTTATTTTGCATTAACAACAACTGAAGAAACAGTTTAATGTTTCTTTTAACTTAGCCATTTTGATTTCAAGTTTAGTAATTCTTAACATGTATTAAACAAAAATATAATGCTTTTTTAACTCAATAATCCTATATTTATAGGTATAGTAACACTATACTTATGAATACAGGATTATTGAGTTAAAAAAGCATAAAAATACAGCAAACCTATAATTAATAACAAAAATATAATACAAGCTACATTAGATATTAAACTAAGTTAAGTGTTTGAAAAACTTTTGCTCTTATCCCATACTTTCTAGGTCAAAAATGTGACATGATAAAAGGTTTTCCTTGTAATACTAATATATTTATTATTTTACAATATTTACAACTTCAAATACAGTACACTTTTGCTAATTCAGCCTCTCAATTATCTGGCATATACCAGTGTGATTGCCTATGTACATCTGTTTCCATGAAAACCTTTAATGTCACACCTCCTGTTTTCCTATTCCTTGGTTTTCATTCCTGTGTACAATATTGTATGTAAACATGCTATATTATTTGTCCTTCTGCCTCCAAAAAGAATTGGTTCTGATCACATCATTCATTGCCTTTAGGCCTATACACTCTCAGTAATCTGGTACACTTCAGTGCAAGGAATGGTCAGATTAGCAAGAGTATAGTATAATATTTTTACAAATTTTGTAATTATCATTTATAAATCTTAAAATATAATTTAGAGCTGTTATATTTATAAAAGTTTATATTAGAATAGATTCTTGCATTCATGTTTGAAGTTTTTTGCATATTATTTGTGCTATGAAAATCCCAAAACTCATTTGAGCTGAAACCAGATTAAGATAGTATGAAAAAAATTCTCATCTATTAAGCTAAAATAGCTGCAGTTTTGCTTTTATTTTCCTTACAACCTTTAATACGTATACTCTTTAAATAAACTAACTTTATTTGTTGTTGCATGCCAACTTCTAATCAAGCAAAATTATGTCAACACTATTATGAGTGTGCAAATTGATTATAAATAGAGAACTGCCATCCACAAACAAATAATATGACACTAAGACTCGGATAAAAGAAAAAATCAATGTATCTGCTGTTACTGAGGAATTAGAAATGAATATAATTTGTATTTGTTCAGTATTTTCTCAGTAAATGAATTAAGATAAATCAATGTTAGTTGTGAAATATCGTCTTGAGGGAAATTTATATTGAGTTGTGTAATAAACATGTTCAGATTTTGGTGATATTTTTGCATATTTATATTTTATATTTCTGAGCATTATCTTAAGAGATTGTTTATAATAAATGATTTATATAAATAATTATAAGTAAACATGAGGAGATGAAATTGTAAGTTGTTGAAATCTTTTTTTGTATATAAAATTATCAACTTTTGGAATCATTAGTAGTTAATAATGTTTATTTATGAAGTTATTTATGAGTTTATTTAAACAAAATTTAATTTTTTGTTTATCTTCTTGATTTATATTTCTATCCAAATTGTTAGTAATCATATTAACAATACAAATACACAAATAAAAGACCCACAAATTTTAAAAATACAGTAGAGCGTCATTTATCCAAATCAGTTGGGGACTGGGGTTGTTCGGATAACTTATTTTTTGGATAACCGATTATGTACGAAAAAATATATTAACCTATCCCATCCTGAAATTTTTCTCCGTTGCGTGTCGCTTTGCATTGAATTTTCGTTGATGTTAAGCCTAATGTAAACTTTTTAAAATAATAATCGTGGCTATCAGGGGCGTGCCGTGACATTTGACTATAGGGAAGCTGTGTTTCTGTAAGAAGCCGACATCCAGGGGCAATCAGTCAATTGCGCGTCAGTGATGGTCTAGGGTCCATTCGTATCGTTTATTCGATAAGCCAGTAAAAACCGTAGACTTCTCTAAATGCATTTTTAATATCACAATTACATTCCGAATCGCTAGCCACGATATAAGGGCTACAATTAAAAATAAAATAATAAAAACTTACTCGGTGAAATAAAATATGTGGTGGATGTACCGGTACATACAAAATATTCTTCAATTATATGAATATACTTTAAAGAAAATTATAATTAAATATAGCTTTGCAAAGAAACGTACATAAAAATATAAAATATTCTTTACTTTTTAAATCTTAAAACAATGCACTTAGTCAAGTAGCTCCCTACGAGTGGCTAATGAATGGAATCGAAGACGGTTGCAGAGCGTGCATGCACGCACTGCCAAATCCCCAGGGTGCCGATACCGGTCAATTCAAATACCTCTTTTGTCGCATCATTAGTATATCTGAAAGGACGCGACAGGGCTGTTGTAGATTTTAAACGTTTCTCACCATAGCTGTAAAAATCTAAATACTCGTATGTTAAACATAATAGTCATTTGTTTTCTAACTAATTCGTTTTAGGACCAGGTGTTGTCCACGGAAATTTCCAAAATTTACAACTTTTCGGTCACTCTCGTCGAACTGGAAAAATTTCTGTCTTTATTACATCTAATACAGTATTTCGAAGAAATCAGTCCCCACTGTAC